ACGAGACACTTCTTATATACTTTGTAATATTTTTGTATTTTCTTTTTTCTTCTGGCAATTTTTTTTTATGCAACTTAGAATGGCAAGCAAGCTGACGACTCACCTAATGGAAAGTGGTAGCCGTCGCCTATAGACATGAGCAGTACCATGGACATAACAGAGTATACTGTTTCGTTGCCATTCCTGAGAACTCAGATGTTATTCCTCTGCACCCTGTAAATTCACTGCCATATCTTCTTACCCTTCAAATCGTAACACAGTCATGCAAACACAACTGCATCACCGTAGAAACACGAATGGGTGAGAGGTACCCAAGCAAACGACTTTTGTACAAAGTCTCCCTCTGGTCTTTTCTATTCTATTCTGTATAATAATACTATCTGTTGAGTAATTTTATGCGATTTACGTATGTATAGGAGCCAGCACATTGCTCCATTATCTTTATTCAGTTAACTAGAGCTCACGGTATCATGTGGCGTAACTAAGGCTCTCCATATTACATACGAGAAACTTTCTCCGAAGTACAATCAATATTGCCAGTAATCAGAACTTATTAAATTTTAATGCTCATTATTAAAGAATTAAAAATGTTATAAATATCTTTCTCATAATTTCACTTGATAAATACCTTATTTATTTTATTTATTTAAACTTTAATACACAGTAAAATTCTATGTACATTTGACGGAGTTAACACCGGACGGTGTTCTCTACCAGTCAACTAATGGGCGAACAGAGACATACGTAGGCGGTGCATTTTTGAATAGAGAAAAAAAGTAATAATATATACATAAAATATATAAAACAACTGCAGTAGAAGAGCAAGTAATATATGACCCAAACAGAGTTAGATATATATATATACATATATATATATTACAAGTAGTGTATTTCTTGTGTATTATTATGTATAATTATTTCAATATGTTACTATAATTGTCACATAATTTTCACCACATCTGCACTTCATACGCTTTCTGTTTTTACCCAATCGTTAGCTGGTAGAGAATGCCATATGGCTTTAAGCTCGCCATTTGCACAAAGTTTTATTATGCAATAAAGAATAACTAAATAAACAATTAATCCATTACCCTAAGATTGTCTTGAAAAGATTGCTCTCAGCAATAAGACCGCCTTACTGTACTTATACAACTGTATCGTTGCATTTTTTTTTAATGGATGATAATAGAATGGTAACCCCACCCGCGCTATCGGTATACACCGGCGGGGCACCAGTGAAGGATGATAGGTGAGGATGAAGCAGGTCAGTTAGCCCACCGTGACGAATTCAACAAGAATTGTTCACGATGGTTTCCAGGGGGAACCATGTGAAGGTCGACCTAATAAGGCATATTGCTACCAATGGGGCTGTCAAACTCCATTGCTAACAATTCCTTTCCCCCCCAATATCGTTACATTTATTCGTCTTGCTTATTCCCTATAATGTATAATGCAAATAGAGTATACTCATCCATACATAATTTAATAGCCAGTTAGTAATACAGATACTGTGCCACCCCTATCACTGTGTGTGAACGAGTCATGTAAATGTGACCTGCATTCTACGTGCATAACTTTACCTGCGCCGGGCGTATGTTTCACTGAAATATGAACGCCAGTAACATTCTGCCATTAGCGAGTGACACACAGTCCGACAGATATCGTGGTATTTTATGTAAATAACTTTTAATTCGTGTCTTCATTTATACAGATTAGGATACAAAACACACTATTAGGTTATGTAGTATTAGTAATCATTGAGTATCGATTAAAAATCGATAGATCGATTTTTTTATGCAACTTAGAATGGCAACCAAGCTGACGACTCACCTGATGGAAAGTGGTAACCGTCGCCTATAGACATAAGCAGTACTATGAACATAACAGAGTATACTGTTTCGGCCATGATATCCATTCGTTGCCGTTCTTGAGGACTCAGGTGTTATTCCTTTGTACCCTGTAAATTCACTGCCATATCCCACCCTTCAAACCGAAACACAGTCATGCAACCACAACTGCTCCACGTTAGAAACACGAATGGGACAAAGGTACAAGCAAATGACTTTTGTACAAATATTTACATATATATACATACAACTGCTTCACGGTGGGGGGAAAGAGATTGTTAGTAATAGGGATAGTAACTCCATAGCTAGCAATAAACCCTATCAGGTTGACTTTGCGATTCCTTCCGGAAACCATCGTGATTAATTCCGTCACGGTGGGATAACTGACCTGTTTCGTCCTCACTTATCACCACTCACTGGTGCCCCGCCAGTGTATACCGATAGCGTAGATGATTACCATTCCATTATCATCCATAAAAAAACAAAACTGCTTCACGGTAGAAACACGAATGGGGCAGACATACCCAGGCAAATGACTTTTTTACAAAGTCTCTTTCTGGTTTGTTCTATAAAAACAATATGTCCGTATGTCCCAATAAAATGTAAAAATAACGAATGAGGTGTGAACGTAGTTATATGTTGGAGTCCCGGCCAAAGTTTCATTTCGGGAGATTTAGCACATACGAAACCAACTGCAATAAAGTGACGAACTCTGTCACGGCTGCAATATGTCATGGAATGTTTTGTGTCTCTGTGACTACATTTATGTAGATTTATTTTCATAAAACACTAGCAGTTGCCCCAGTCTTTGCGCGCGTGTTGTGTTAAGATACCTGAAGCTAAATAAAATCTTACTAATGTGACAAAATTATATTTTATTATTACTGAAAGATGGGCTTTTTTTCAGGCAAAAAAACCTGTGACATTGCGACCTTTCCATGTTCTTTTGTGCTCGCCCTTTTTTAAAGTTCGCTGCTTATTCAATGATAGGAATTTTAAGATGTTTTTTTGTAGCGACGTTTTTTATCTCCTCAGAATATAGTGTGTTTTCCAAAGGAGATATATCGTTTATATATGAGTGAGCTACAGCCTATATATGTACTTATAATAATGTAACTCAAAACTAAGTAATATTAGAACCGCATCGATATAAGAAATCTAAGCTAAGATTATCCGTAACGACCTCAACACCTCCCCAATCGCAAATTATTCAACCCCGAAACAAATTCCGATCGCCTAAAACAACTCCCCTGGGAACCCTTTTAAGCATTCCCATATAAAAGAGAATATAATATTTTAGAGTAACGACCAAATGGTAACATTCGTGGACGACTGTACATTACCGCGTCTACCTATAAAGCGAATAAGTATAGTACGCCGCAAAGTTTTTACACGAGTCGTTTTATAGAAGGAAAAATATTTTCACTAAGATTTACATTCTTAAAGCGGTGCTTTTTAACCGCTCTTCGAAAATAGGTAGCCGCGAATTAATGAGGCCCTTTCTTGAGTATAAAGGTCGTACTCCATCACTAATGCGATGCTAATACTTTATGTCGATGGAGAAGCGATTATTAGCAATGAGAATTTTTTTTATGCAATTTAGAATGGCAAACAAGCTGACGCCCCACCTGATGGAAAGTGGTAACCATCGCCTATAGACTTGAGTAGTACCATGGACGTAACAGAGTATACTGTTTCGCCCATGATACCCCTCGTGGGTTGCCATTCCGGAGGACTCAGGTGTTATTTCTCTGTACCTTGTAAATTCACGCCATATCCCACCCTTCAAACCGAAACACAGCCATGCAAACACAACTGCTTCACGGCAGAAACACGAATGGTACAGAGGTACCCAAGCAATCGACTTTTGTACAGTCTCTCTCCCTCTCCTTTTGTACCTTTATATTGGTATATATTTTATTTGGACTTTATTTCATTTGAAATTTCTAATTATAACTGCATATTTTTATGTTTTTGATACAATAAAGAGTTAAATAAATAAATATGTCAATTTTTATCTACTAGTTTGTTCAAAGTGAGCGGTGACTTTCCAAGTAGACTGGTTGCTTATATCTTTTCATATATTTCTTATGTCACTGGAAAACAATCTTAATAAAGTGACTCTATAAGAAATGTGTTATAATATTTTGAAAATGTACATTTAAGAGTCGAGAGAGAGAGGACGAATTCATTATTTTGCATAAACAGCACCGAACAAGCGAGTATGACACTGAAACAATAACGTCGCGAGCGCTCTCGTAAATATAGGGTTGGCACACCGTTGAAATAATTATCTGATTTTTTTTTTGGGAAATGCAATTAAAATTTTTGTTTGTTCAGTTTGCTCTATTGTTAACCATTATAATGGTTATATTAATGATCCATTTTAATTATGACGGATTCAATTGTCAGTTATGTTTATTTTTTCCTAGTTTTTTAATGGTTTTTAAATGAGTACCGCTAAATGATTTAGTTATTGTATATATATATATATATATATATATATATATATATATATATATATATATATATATATATATAAATAAAAAGATATTTCCATCGTCTATAGCTATTCAGCTAGCACTAGGGAGATCAACAACTCTGCTGTTCGTAAATCATAATAGGATTTGCTTCGTATAACCCGCCGATGTGATAAATGTACTAGCCATTAGTAAAACCTCCTCAGCAGGAGAGGTCTATTAGACACGGCGGGGTTATTCTAATCAAATCCTATCATGATTTGTGTAAAGTATTTTTAACCTATAAAAATTTAATTTTGAAATCGAAATTTTTTTTTGATGGGTGAAAATGGTATGGTAACCCCGCCTGTGCTAATGGGATACGCTGGCAGAGCACCAGTGAAGGGTGATAGATGAGAACGAAAACAGGCCAGTTAGCCCGTCATGATGAATTCATCAGGAATTAACCATGATAGTTTCCAGGGGGAACCGCGAGTAGGGTCGACATGGTTGAGTATATTGCTAGCAATGGGATTCTCAGTTTCCATTACTAACAATCCCTTCCCCCCAAATCGAAATAATCGGTTTTGTCACCAATTAAGTTTTTTCTGTAAAGATTATGTATCCTTCCCTTACATCTGTTTTTTTTTTTTTTATGAATAACGTATTAATATTAAAATATATCTCTTTTCAGATCGCAAACGTGTATCCTCATCTCTTGCAACTGACCGACTGCATCACCAATAGACAGATTAATGTAAATCAGTAAAAAGGTAAGTCATTCTTCAGTTAAATTCATTAAAATCTGCAGTACTATATTTAACAGGAATGAATATAAACATTTAATATACCCTCTCAGGTCGACCTCCACGCGGTTGCCCCTGGAAACCATCATGTTTAATTCTTGTCGAAGTCGTCATGGTGGGCCAACTAACCTGCATTCATTCTCACCTATCATCTTCCACTGGTGCCTCGTCGGTGTACACCAATAGCGCGGGCGGGGTTACCAATCCATTTCCACCCATTAAAAAAATATATATATATAAACATTTTAACCCTTAAAAGAAAGGGTACAGAGGAATAACATCTGAGTCCTTAGGAATGGCAACGCATGGGAGGTATCGTGGGCGAAACAGTATACGAGTACTCTGTTATGTCCATGGTACTGCTCATGTCTATAGGCGACGGTTACCACTTCCAATCAGGTGGGCCGTCAGCTTGTTGGCATTCTAAGTTGCATAAAAAAAGAAACAAAAACATACTTTATTGATAACGGCATATTTATGTAGATTGATTGTTTATATTGGACATGTGGTCCCGGCATAGAATAGGCCACCCCTGCCATTCCCGTGGGTGTCGTAAGAGGCGACTAAGGGAACTTAATGATCGAGGAATGGGAAGCAGTATCCCTCTTAAAACGTGTCTAAATTCTATCTGCGGCCTAACCAGGAAGCAGCATATATATATATATATATATATATATATATATATATATATATATATATATATATATATAGTTTAATTATTTCTATGGCGGTATCTTTACAAAACTCGCGTGAAGGTGCAAAAACTACAGGAAAAAATATTATTTTAAACCGTCTGGAGAATATAATATAATAAAAATTATATTTTAATAATAAATAAATAAATGAAGAATATATTTTTTTTATAGAACATGATAATATTTGATTTTATTAGTGGCCAGTTATATTGCAATTTTCGAAGCGAACAATTATATTGTGCAAGACTCCAGTACATATTTTGACCAGAGTATATGGTCAATAAATCTTACCTTATCTTATTTTTCGCATATGGGGTCAGCTAAGCCGATGCACGTCGACCCATACGGATCTTTCGTGCTTTCCCCTGCCTTATACCATCATTTCATAGATCCTATGTTTTACCCTAACGATATCCCGCGGTTTAAGATATCTGTAGTCCCCTGGCTCTGGATAAGCTGTTCCCAGTAAACTCATACGCATACTTGCCAACGAATCGCAGTTGCACATCAAGTGTTCCATGGATTCCGATTTCTCCCCGCACAGTCTGCACAGTGTGTCCGAAGATAGACCTATCTTGTGTAGTATATGCCTTATTGGCATATACATGGGCAATAAAAGGTCGATGTTATTTATAATGGGTACCTGAAGCATGTTAGGCAAGAGAATATAAATTTATTTATTTACTCTTTACTGTACCACTTAAAGAATAATACTGTTGGATAAAAAGAAGGGTAAAGGACAAACCTGGTTCCCTTAGTCCCCGCGTGTAGGTCTTTTGTACGCGTTCTCGTTCTCTCCTCAAATTATCCAACACTTTTGTTGATTTGCATAAGATGTCACTGTATGTTGCGCGGACATCGCGACCGATTGAATAATTCGCAACTGGCGGAGATTTTTCGTGATCTTGGCGGCACTTGATCAGCTCGATACGCAGTTGGATTATAGACTGATTTTGTCCATTTACCCCCCAATGTGATCCCAGATTTGATAGGGAAGGAGGGTAGAAGGATATTACGTTAGGAAATGTTTAATGCATATACAAATATTTACCAAATACAAAACAGTATATAGATGTGTATTACACACATTTTTACATTTATAATATTATTTAGTTGTTATTGACAACCCTAGACATTTATGCACTCAATGTGTCGGTCCATAATGAATCACATCTCAGACCAACAGCTTAAACTTGCCTCGTTATTGCGAATAACCCTTTAAGACTCGAACATAATACAGTACTTAGCGAGCAGGCGTTATTTGCTACTTCATTGTGTATTCGGGTTTAGGTGCGCTGTTCCTTGAATATGGATAGGGTTGTCACAGGCAAGTAATTAAATGTGAGATACGAGTTATATTCATGCCTGCACTCTCAATGGTTGGAGAAAGTAATAAAATAACCAAGGAGTGCAGAAATTATAGTCAATATATACTCGTTTTTTTTTGTTGGATGAAAATGGAATGGTAACCCCGTCCGCGCTAACGGGATACGCTGGCCGAGCACCAGTGAAGGGTGATAGATGAGAATGAAAACAGGCCAGTTAGTCCATCATGATGAATTCACCAGGAATTAACCATGATAGTTTCCAGGGAGAACCGCGAGGAGGTCGACCTGGTTGGATATATTGCTAGCAATGGGATTCTCAGTCTCCATTACTAACAATCCCTTTCCCCCCTATAAGAGGTGATTAAGAGAGGGCGAGGGATGGGCAGCAGCATTTCGCTTCAAACATCTCTAAACTCTAACTGCGGTTGCCAATCCGTCTGCCAAACGTGGCAACTACTGGCAATACCCCCCAAGGGGGAGGTTTATCTTTAGTAATGGACAATTAAAGGTTGATATTATGATACATGCTCACTTCTATCTGTTCTCCTTTAACCAAAAGTTGTCTGTAAGAGATTGCCCTAGCGATAAGACCTTTGTACCTTTATGTGTATATTTCAATCTGTATTTATGTTACTGTATTTCATTTAAATTATTCACTTGTCATTGTATATTTTTATTTATGGTGCAATAAAGAGTTAAATAAATAAATACAGGTAAGTTGCTTGGCAGCATAAAAAGGTAAAAGACTACATACAAAGATACAAATGTCATGAAAACTACATACAAACAATTTTCTAGAGTCTTCAAATTTAAAGTAATACTAAATATTCGAATAATATGCCAAGTGAAATCAAAGTTATTATTTACCAGAGGGAAACTTTGTAGAAAAGTCGATTGCTTGAGTACCTCTGTCCCATTCGTGTTTCAACCGTGAAGCAGCTGTGTTTGCATGGCTGTGTTTCGGTTTGAAGGGTGGTATATCGCGTGAATTTACTGATTACGGAGCACCAGTGAAGGATGATAGATGAGAATGAAAACAGGCCAGTTAGCCCATCATGATGAATTCATCAGGAATTAACCATGATAGTTTCCAGGGGGAACCGCGTGGAGGTCGACCTGGTTGGGTATATTGCTAGCAATGGGATTCCAGTCTCCATTACTAACAATCCCTTTCTCCCCTAAATAGCTAGAGTCTAGTCGTATACCTCTATTCCATTCATGTTTCTGCCATGAAGCAGTTGTGTTTGCATGGCTGTGTTCCGGTTTGAAGGATGGGATATGGCCACTTTCCATCAGGTGGGCCGTTAGCTTGTTTGCCATTCTAAGTTGTAATAAGTAATAATAAATAAATAAATGTAATAAGTAAAATTCTATTCATTTAAACTAAATTATTATATATAAACTATTATATTCATTTAAAATAAAGTATTCATTTAAAATAAATAAATAAATGTAATAAGTAATAAAAAAAAATTAAGGGGAAGCCAGTTGCGCCGTGCCTACCCCAGAATTATTTAATGCTCTTCCCAGAATCTTAGCAGAGCTTTAAGCTGCACAAGTGCGCAATATGGTCTCATATTTATGTTTGTGTGTGCAGTGCAATAAGAAAATTGTTTATTAAGAGGTTTAACAATTGCCAATTTACCACTGCACGTTTTTTTATACAACTTAGAATGGCAAACAAGCTGACGGCCCACCTGATGGAAAGCGGTAACCGTCGCCTATAAACATGAGCAGTACCATGGACATAACAGAGTGTACTGTTTCGCCCATGATACCCCCATGCGTTGCCATTCCTGAGGACTCGGGTGTTATTCCTCTGTACCCTGTAAATTCACGCCATATCCCACCCTTCAAACCGAAACACAGCCATGTGAATGTGTCGCCCCACCATTTCTATGTTAATTTTCTCTGATATTTAGTACACAAGTTCATAGTTATCTCACATTAATTGGCAGTTATCAGTAAATTGTTAATCTTTTGAAATATACGTTATTACCAACCTTGTCTTAGTCGTGTACCTTTAATAAGCAGCCAGAAGCCCTTTCCCTTCTTGGAAAATAATCATATTTATTCCATCTAAATCCAGGGGGCAAACGAGCATGCAGCTCACCTGATGATAAGCGACTACCGCTGCCAATGAGCACCCGCAACACCAGAAGCATTGCAGGTGTGCCGCCGGCCTTTTAAAAAGGAATGTGCTCTTTTCTTGAAGGTTATGATGTCGTATCGGTTCGGATATACTGCTTCTGGAAGTTGATACCAAAGAGTGGTTATGCATGGAAGAAAGTGCCTTGAAAAACGCACGGTGGAGGACCGCCCTTATTCCTTCCTTTTCCGTAGGTGTCGTAAGAGGTGACTAAGGAAGCTTATGGTGTAATGAGGAGCAGCAGGGGGTCCTCCTAAAATATCAACAAAAACCAACCGTTGCCAACTCGCCTGCCAAGTTTGGCAACTATTGGCAAAAAATAAGGGGGTTATTAGGAAGTCTATGTTCAGCAGTGGAGAATAAACGGCTGATAGTACAACTAATAATTTTGCTACCACCCTGTATAAGCTACCAAAAAGGGGTCAAATACAATTTATTATATCAATGAAAATGCTACTTTATTGACGCGATTTCGGAAACAAGCCGAGGTTAGATAAGATAATGCGCGCTCTGTAACCTCGTTTGCATGTTTTGATAAGGACGAGTGACAACCCTATTCGTTATTTACAGATAATAAAGCGATAATTGAAAACAAATCTTTATCCAGCGCTCGTCTGATGCGCAGATAATGGGCGGAAAACAAAAACTATATTGCAAATGAGTTTCCGATAACGCTTTGCAGTTTTAGATTCTAGATTTTTTTGTTAAAACTAGTTTTAATCTACGTTCTCCATCCCAAATATGTGCCATATTTCAAAACAAATGATTAAACAATTAGACTGCTAAGAAGTAAGA